CCAACTACCTACACATGCAGAACCTGCTCACCCCCAACTACCTACACATGCAGAACCTGCTCACCCCCAACTACCTTCACATGGAGAACCTGCTCACCCCCAACTACCTACACATGCAGAACCTGCTCACCCCCTACTACCTTCACAAGGGAACCTGCTCACCCCCAACTACCTTCACAAGGGGAACCTGCTCACCCCCTACTACCTTCACAAGGGGAACCTGCTCACCCCCCCAACTACCTTCACATGGAGAACCTGCTCACCCCCAACTACCTTCACATGGAGAACCTGCTCACCCCCTACTACCTTCACATGGAGAACCTGCTCACCCCCTACTACCTTCACATGCAGAACCTGCTCACCCCCAACTACCTTCACATGCAGAACCTGCTCACCCCCAACTACCTTCACATGGAGACCCTGCTCACCCCAACTACCTTCACATGCAGACCCTGCTCACCCCCAACTACCTTCACATGGAGAACCTGCTCACCCCCAACTACCTTCACATGGAGAACCTGCTCACCCCCAACTACCTTCACATGGAAAACCTGCTCACCCCCAACGACCTTCACATGGAGAACCTGCTCACCCCCAACTACCTTCACATGCAGAACCTGCTCACCCCCAACTACCTTCACATGGAGAACCTGCTCACCCCCAACTACCTTCACATGGAGAACCTGCTCACCCCCAACTACCTTCACATGGAGAACCTGCTCACCCCCAACTACCTTCACATGGAGAACCTGCTCACCCCCAACTACCTTCACATGGAGAACCTGCTCACCCCCAACTACCTTCACATGGAGAACCTGCTCACACCCCAACTACCTTCACATGGAGAACCTGCTCACCCCCAACTACCTTCACATGGAGAACCTGCTCACCCCCAACTACCTTCACATGCAGAACCTGCTCACCCCCTACTACCTTCACATGCAGAACCTGCTCACCCCCAACTACCTTCACATGGAGAACCTGCTCAGCCCCAACTACCTACACATGCAGAACCTGCTCACCCCCAACTACCTACACATGCAGAACCTGCTCACCCCCAACTACCTTCACATGGAGAACCTGCTCACCCCCAACTACCTTCACATGGAGAACCTGCTCACCCCCAACTACCTACACATGCAGAACCTGCTCACCCCCTACTACCTTCACAAGGGGAACCTGCTCACCCCCCAACTACCTTCACATGGAGAACCTGCTCACCCCCAACTACCTTCACATGGAGAACCTGCTCACACCCCCTACTACCTTCACATGGAGAACCTGCTCACCCCCTACTACCTTCACATGCAGAACCTGCTCACCCCCAACTACCTTCACATGCAGAACCTGCTCACCCCCAACTACCTTCACATGGAGAACCTGCTCACCCCAACTACCTTCACATGCAGACCCTGCTCACCCCCAACTACCTTCACATGGAGAACCTGCTCACCCCCAACTACCTTCACATGGAGAACCTGCTCACCCCCAACTACCTTCACATGGAAAACCTGCTCACCCCCAACTACCTTCACATGGAGAACCTGCTCTCACCCCCAACTACCTTCACATGCAGAACCTGCTCACCCCCAACTACCTTCACATGGAGAACCTGCTCACCCCCAACTACCTTCACATGCAGAACCTGCTCACCCCCAACTACCTACACATGCAGAACCTGCTCACCCCCTACTACCTTCACAAGGAGAACCTGCTCACCCCAACTACCTTCACATGGAGAACCTGCTCACCCCCCAACTACCTTCACATGGAGAACCTGCTCACCCCCCTACTACCTTCACATGGAGAACCTGCTCACCCCCTACTACCTTCACATGGAGAACCTGCTGCTCCACCCCCTACTACCTTCACACATGCAGAACCTCACATGCAGAACCTGATCACCCCCAACGACCTTCACATGCAGAACCTGCTCACCCCCAACTACCTTCACATGGAGAACCTGCTCACCCCCAACTACCTTCACATGCAGAACCTGCTCACCCCCAACTACCTTCACATGGAGAACCTGCTCACCCCCAAGTACCTTCACATGTAAAACCTGCTCACCCCCAACTACCTTCACATGGAGAACCTGCTCACCCCCATCTACCTTCACATGCAGAACCTGCTCACCCCCAACTACTTTCACATGGAGAACCTGCTCACCCCCAACTACCTTCACATGCAGAACCTGCTCACCCCAACTACCTACACATGCAGAACCTGCTCACCCCCAACGACCTTCACATGCAGAACCTGCTCACCCCCAACTACCTTCACATGGAGAACCTGCTCTCACCCCCAACTACCTTCACATGCAGAACCTGCTCACCCCCAACTACCTTCACATGGAGAACCTGCTCACCCCCAAGTACCTTCACATGTAAAACCTGCTCACCCCCAACTACCTTCACATGGAGAACCTGCTCACCCCCATCTACCTTCACATGCAGAACCTGCTCACCCCCAACTACTTTCACATGGAGAACCTGCTCACCCCAACTACCTTCACATGCAGAACCTGCTCACCCCCAACTACCTACACATGCAGAACCTGCTCACCCCCTACTACCTTCACAAGGAGAAACCTGCTCACCCCCAACTACCTTCACATGGAGAACCTGCTCACCCCCAACTACCTTCACATGGAGAACCTGCTCACACCCCTACTACCTTCACATGGAGAACCTGCTCACCCCCTACTACCTTCACATGCAGAACTTGCTCTGCTCACCCCCTACTACCTTCATACATGCAGAACCTGCTCACCCCCAACTACCTTCACATGGAGAACCTGCTACTGACACCCCTACTACCTCCACATGCAGAACCTGCTCACCCCCAACTACTATCTTCACATGCAGAACCTGCTCACCCCTTACTACCTATCACATGCAGAACCTGCCCACCCCCTACTACTGTCACATGCAGAACCTGCTCACCCCCTACTACCTACACATGCAGAACCTGCTCTCCCCTACTACCTACACATGCAGAACCTACTCACCCCCAACTGCCTACACATGCAGAACCTGCTCTCCCCCCTACTACCTACACATGCAGAACCTGCTCACCCCCTACCTACCCTCCACATGGAGAACCTGCTCACACCCCCTACTACCTTCACATGCAGAAACTGATTGCCCCCTACTACCTTCACATGCAGAAACTGATTGCCCCCAACTACCTTCACATGCGAACTTGCTCACCCCCTACTACCTTCACAGGGAGAACCTGCTCATCACCTACTACCTTCACATGCAAAACCTGCTCACCCCCTACTACCTTCACATGGAGAACCTGCTCACCCCCTACTACCTTCACATGCAGAACCTGCTCACCCCTACTACCTTCACATGGAGAACCTGCTCACACCCCCAACTACCTTCACATGCAGAAACTGATTGCCCCCAACTACCTTCACATGCAGAACTGCTCACCTCTACTACCTTCACAGGGAGAACCTGCTCATCACCTACTACCTTCACATGCAAAACCTGCTCGCCTCCTATTACCTTCACATGCAGAATTTGTTGGCCTCCTACTACACCCATGTGCAGAACCTGCTCACATCCTACTGCCTCCACATTCAGAACCTCCTTGGCTCCTACTACATACATGTGCAGAACCTGATCGCCCCCTACTACCTCCACATACAGAATCTACTCACCCCCTACTACCTCCACATGCAGAATCTGCTCGCCCCCTGCTACACCAACATACTCGATCTGCTCGCCCTTGACAACCTCCACAGAATCTGCTTGTTCCCTTTTACCTCCATGAGCAGAATCTGCTTGCCCCCAACTATTTCCATGTGCAGTACCTGCTGTTTTTTCCATGCCACCTTTGAAATCACTCCAAAAGAACCCCTCTTCCCACTGTACAGCACTTTTAAAAACTGTGTATAGTTTCCCAATGCACTTTTTTAAAATAGCTTAACTATTAATCTTGAAAATGGGCAGAATTTAGCATCAAGATTGCCCCCCCCCCCCCCCCCCCAAAAAAAAATAAAAAAAACTTCAATGGGATGGAGTTCCCTGTTAAGTTTGAGTTTCATGAATTTCATACAGAATTCAGTGAGTCCCCTACAAATAGAATCCAAGCAAATCGGGCCGATCCCTACCAATGAAGACTGACACCAGCAATTGCTGTAGACCACAGCTGCCTTTCCACTTTAGAGCCCACAGAATAATGACCATACCACTAATGTGTATACTAACCTAAGGATAAATGTTAGGGACTACTTTCCTCTTTCCCTCACAAGTAGCATATTTGTTGCTTTTATTTAGATAAGCAGCTAAACAGTAAATACCTGGCGATCCCGCCAGTCCCCTAGTATATGAAGCCCCTCCGAATTGCTCCTGAGCACAGAAGCTGGTCCCTGCCAGTGTAGTTAGTTTGCAGCCTAGGTGTTTTGTCCTGATGCTGACTGAGCTACCTATCAGGCAAATATAAGTGTGCCCTCTAGTGGCTACAAATGTGTAGTAAATATAGGCAAATATAAAGCTGTACCGCTTCTGCCACAGACATGCCGGTGTTCCACCCGGTGTTCCACCGGGGGATGAGGGAGAAGAAAGAGCACAGGCCGTCCCCCCATCATGGATGGTGTACACCGTGTCTGAGCAGAGGCCAACTCCATGGTCCACCAGAGACTCTCCTTCCCCGGCCAGCCCTGACTGAGTTGCCCCAGCTCCCCCCCCAGCCACCCCATGCTGGCCAGTTTAGGAACCCAGAGTCGGTGCACCTGGCGCTGTCCAGCCCACCCCGCCCGGTGAGCAGACAGTACCTGGAGCACAGTTGCTGCACCAGGGGTCTCTGGATTACACTGGGCCAAATGTTACCAAATCAGCCCTTGGGCTAATAGACAGACAGACAGATAGACAGATAGATAGATAGATACTATATTGCCAAACGTATTGGTCCCCCCTCCATATCATTGGATTCAGCTGTTCCAATCCCCTCCATGGCCACAGGTGTATACAATCAAGCACCCAGGCATGCAGACTGCTTCTACAAACATTGGTGAAAGAATGGGTCACTCTCAGGAGCTCAGTGACTCCAAGCGTGGTACCGTGATAGGTGGCCACCTGTGCAATAAGTCCATCTGTGACAGTTCTTTGCTACTAAATATTCCACGGTCAACTGTTAGTGGGATTATAACAAAGTGGAAGCAACTGGGAACAACAGCAACTCAGCCACAAAGTGGTAGGCCATAGAAAATGACAGAGCGGGGTCAGTGCATGCTGAAGCGCACAGTGCACAGAAGTCACCAACTGTCTGCAGAGTCAATAGCTAAAGACCTCCAAACTTCGTGTGGCCTTCAGATTAGTACAACAGCAGTGTGTAGAGAGCTTCATGGAATAGGTTTCCATGGACGAGCAGCTGCATTCAAGCCTTACATCACCAAGTGCAGTGCAAAGTGTCGGATGCAGTGGTGTAAAGTATGCCGCCACTAAACTCCAGAGCAGTGGAGACATGTTCTCTGGAATGACAATTCACGCTTCTCTGTCTGGCAATCCGATGGATGTGTCTGGGTTTGGTGGTTGCCAGGAGAACGGTACTTGCCTGACTGCATTGTGCCAAGTGTAAAGTTTGGTGGAGGGGGGATTATGGTGTGGGGTTGTTTTTCAGGGGTTGGCTTGGCCCCTTAGTTCCAGTGAAGGGAACTCTTAAGGCATCAGCACACCAAGACATTATGGACAATTTCATGTTCCCAGCTTTGTGGGAAGATTTTGGGGATGGCCCCTTCCTGTTCCAACATGACTGCACACCAGTGCACAAAGCAAGGTCCATAAAGACATGGATGAGCGAGTTTGGGGTGGAAGAACGTGACTGGCCTGCACAGAGTCCTGACCTCAACCCATAGAACACCTTTGGGATGAATTAGAGCGAAGACTGCGATCCAGGCCTCCTCCCCCGACATCAGTGCCGGACCTCACAAATGTGCTTCTGGAAGAATGGTCCAACCTTCCCATAGACACCCTCCTAAACCTTGTGGACGGCCTTCCCCAGAAGAGTTGAGGCTGTTATAGCTGCAAAGGGCGGGGCCAACTCAATATTGAGCCCTACGGACTAAGACTGGGGGGCCATTAAAGTTCATGTGCGTGGAAAGGCAGGCGTATATTTTTAGAGCCAGCGCACAATATTTTATGTATTCTTTATGTGTTTATTTTCCTAACCCCTGGCTAATGAATGGATTCTATTTTTTGATCCCCAAGTTTGCTTTACTCAGGATGACCTTGCATGAAGCAGCTGAATTTAAGCCAAGTACAAAGAGAATGATGAAATCGCCTGCAATGAATACACACAGCGTGGGTGGAGCTAGGCTGCCATCTGGTGCTCAGTTTATATATCGCCGCTTACTGCCTTTTTCAATGTCTGTCACTATTATGCTAATTTAAAAGGAAGCCACATTGTATTTTAAATAAGATTTTTCAATATTAGATATTACTGTAACATTTGACATAGGTGTAAAGAAAAAGGGGGTTGCTAAGGGCACCGCAACCTGATAATTTAAATATAGGTTTGGAAAGAAAAGATTGACCTTTCAGATGCCCTGGACACAAATATAAAATACATCATTTTATCACAATTCACAAAGGTTAAAAACAGAATAAAATTATTTTGCAAAAAACAATAATAGCACATCCCGTAAAGATTGATCCAACGAAGTCCCAGCCCCTGTTTTTTATAGATAAGAAAGCCCTGATATTATGTCCCATGACTTCCAATGTTTGCCTGGGGTGTTCACAGGCAGACTGACCATTTGAGAACTCGGGCATTGCCCGAGGGCCCGGGGTCAGTAGGGGGCCCCATGAGATGCCCCTGGTACCTTTCATAGGCGTGGTTTGAGTATGGGTGAAGACCCAGGGGCCCCATGATCCCCTATTGCCCGGGGGCCCCATGATTTTTCAGTCCACCCCTGGTCTTCAACATGGGTAGAACATCTTGGTGCATTTTTCTGGCTTCTTTAGGAGAATGGGGAGTGCAATTAACATTAAAATTCAAAAAACACAATATTAACAAATGTACAAACAATTAAAATAAATCCATATGTACAGTGATGTAAGAGGTGGTATCAAAACTTTTTTAGACTAATTTTGTAACACGCCAACATATGGCAGCACAAGGCTGCACTCACAGTCACAGGGAGCACAGACATTTATCAGTGTCAGTGTGCCAAAATAAATCATCCTGTGTACATTGGGAGCTGTGCAGTTGGTGCTATTCTGACCACATGTGTTACCACGTCTGTTATTTCATCATGGACAGCAAGTCAGAACACAGAGCAAATGAGAAATTATGTGTGAAACTGGGCAAAACGCTGGATCCCATAATGTTGTCAAAACAGTGACCTTTGAGTTGTATCTTCATCTTCAGGAAGATGTGCTTTTGAACATTGGACCATTCTCTCCCTCAAAAAAACTCTACTCCTTTTGCTGGTTCTCATCCTAGCTATCCCACGCCACCTTCAGTGTCACTTACAATTCTACTTCCTCTTCTCTTCCTTTCTATGTTGGGGTTCCCCAAAGCTCTGTCCTGGGACCCCTCCTATTCTCAATCTACACCTCCTCCTTGGGTCAGTTGATTGCCTCCCATGGCTTTCTATACCATTTCTATGCTAATGACACCCAAATCTATCTCCCCACCCCTCAGCTCACTCCATCTGTCTCCTCATGCATCACTAATCTACTAACAGACATATCAGCCTGGATGTCATACCACTTCCTGAAAATTAATCTATCCAAAACTGAGCTCATAATATTTCCTTCCCCACGTGCCTCTTCCCCTGATTTCTCGGTCAAAATCAACGGCTCAACCATTACCCGTCCCCAAATGCCAGGGTGCTAGGTAAAATCCTGGACTCTGAACTATCCTTTCAGCCCCACATCCAATTGTTGGGTGAGACTCCAGATGAAAGCGCCATCTTAATTATCATCATTGTTCTGTCAACCTATATCTGATTGTCTGCTTAAGAGAGTAAGGAATTTAAAGAGCAGGAAGCAGAAAGTAGCAAGACTATAAAATTGTCATTTTACTGATCATCTAATACAGTGGTTCTCAACCTTTCTAATGCCGCGACCCCTTAATACAGTTCCTCATGTTGTGGTGACCCCCAACCATAAAATTATTTTCATTGCTACTTCATAACTGTAATTTTGCAGTGGGAGGAGTAGTGCCATGTCATTGGTGTCAGTGGAAGGAGTAGTGCCCCATCACTGATGTCAGTGGGATGAATAGTGCCCCATCGTTGGTATCAGTGGGAGGAATAGTGCCCCATCGTTGGTATCAGTGGGAGGAATAGTGCCCCATCGTTGGTATCAGTGGGAGGAATAGTGTCCCATCGTTGGTATCAGTGGGAGGAATAGTGCCCCATCGTTGGTATCAGTGGGAGGAATAGTGCCCCATCGTTGGTATCAGTGGGAGGAATAGTGTCCCATCATTGGTATCAGTGGGAGGAATAGTGTCCCATCGTTGGTGTCAGTGGGAGGAATAGTGCCCCATCACTGGTGTCAGTGGGAGGAATAGTGCCCCATCACTGGTGTCAGTGGGAGGAATAGTGCCCCATCGTTGGTATCAGTGGGAGGAATAGTGCCCCATCACTGATGTCAGTGGGATGAATAGTGCCCCATCGTTGGTATCAGTGGGAGGAATAGTGCCCCATCGTTGGTATCAGTGGGAGGAATAGTGCCCCATCGTTGGTATCAGTGGGAGGAATAGTGCCCCATCACTGATGTCAGTGGGATGAATAGTGCCCCATCACTGGTGTCAGTGGGAGGAATAGTGCCCCATCACTGATGTCAGTGGGATGAATAGTGCCCCATCACTGGTGTCAGTGGGAGGAATAGTGCCCCATCACTGGTGTCAGTGGGAGGAATAGTGCCCCATCACTGGTGTCAGTGGGAGGAATAGTGCCCCATCACTGGTGTCAGTGGGAGGAATAGTGCCCCATCATTGGTGTCAGTGGGAGGAATAGTGCCCCATCATTGGTATTAGTGGGAGGAATAGTGCCCCATCGTTGGTGTCAGTGGGAGGAATAGTGCCCCATCGTTGGTGTCAGTGGGAGGAATAGTGCCCCATCGTTGGTGTCAGTGGGAGGAATAGTGCCCCATCGTTGGTATTAGTGACACAAATGATGGGGCACTATTCCTCCCACTGACACCAATGATACTTACTTTGCTGACCCCTGCTCCAGCCTGGGCTCGCTCTCTCACTTACCTGTCAGCTGTCTTCCCTCTCTGGCCGCTCTCCTCTTCACTCGCTCCGGCAGCTCCCTCGGTCTTCTTTGATGTACGCGCGCTGCCGCTCGGCTCCTCCTCTCCAAGCTCCACCTCCTCGCCGGTGATTTGCCGCCTGTGTGCCTCTCCTGAGCTACAGTTCCGGTGGCCAATCAGCGGCGAGGAGGCGGAGCTGCTGAGCGATCCCGGAGGTGTGGCCAGGTGACAGCAGCGTATCATCCCGCCCACACATCGCCGAAGACTGCAGCGGTGTCTCGGTTCCTAAGACCATCGGAAATATGTGTTTTCCGATGGTCTTAGGCGACCCCTGGGAAATGGTCGTTCGACCCCCAAAGGGGTCGCGACCCCCAGGTTGAGAACCGCTGATCTAATAGAACGTGGACTGTCTATCACAATCCACTACACAATCACTGTCCAAAGCTTGCCGCTTCAACCTCCGCAACATCTCCAAGATACGCCCCTTCCTAACCAATGACACCACAAAGCTTCTAACTCACTCCCTGGTCATCTCCCGCCTTGACTACTGCACCTCCCTCCACACTGGCCTACCTTTACATAGGCTATCCCCCCTCCAATCTAATACAAAGGCTGCTGCCAGACTCATCCACCTTACCAACCAATCAGTGTCTGCCATCCCTCCACTGGCTTCTGCTTACCCAACAAATTCAAGATACTTACAACAACTTTTAAAGCCATCCACAACTCAGCCCCCAGCTACATCACTAACTTTGTCTGAAAATACCAACCAAATTATTTATTTTATTATTTATTTATTACAGGTACTTATATAGTGCTGTCAATGTACACAGCGCTTTACATATATATTGTACATTCACATCAGTCCCTAACCCTCAAGGGGCGTACAATCTAAGGTCCCTAACTCACATTCATACATACACATACTAGGACCAATTTAGACAGGAGCCAATTAACTTACCAGCATGTCTTTGGAGTGTGGGAGGAAACCGGAGTACCCGGAGGAAACCCACACAGGCACAGGGAGAACATGCAAACTCCAGGCAGGTGGTGCCGTGGTTGGGATTAGAACCAACATCCCTAGTACTGCCAGGTGGAAGTGCTAACCATTTACCCACTGTGCTGCCCATCACTCTCTTTGTTCCTCCGAAGACCTCCTGTTCTCTAGCTCCCTTGTAACTCCTCCCATGCTCGCCTCCAGGACTTCTCCAGAGCTGCTCCCATCCTCTGGAACTCCCTTCCCCAATG